GAATGGATGAAACGAGTGAGAGGCGTGGGAGGGCTTTTCTGGAACTCGCATGCCTCGGTCTGTCCCTGCCTAAAGCTGTGTGGAAAGCGCGCGTCCCAAAAAGCTGCCCTGGTCAGCCCCTCTGCGTAAATCTCCATAGGTCGACCTCAATATCCTTGGATTTTTGCCTGCAACATTGTGCAAGCATTGTGTAGGGCTGAGATGCATTGTTTTTTGGAGTTGCATTCGCTACGTACCAATTCCCACGGGCCTTTGTGGCCATGCCACCTGGCCCGCTCCCTCAATAATCAAACCCCGCCCCTCCAATCATTTGACTGTAGCACACACCTCCCAGAGCAGTACCTGTGGAACGAATACGTGTTTGGGAGGTCGTACCGCAGCTGCGCGATGACTTCCGCCTCGAGGCCCAGCTGCTTGGTGGCTACCTTGGCAATGTGGTCCCTCGTGGAGCTCTTGTGCAGCGAATAGATGCTTTCTTTCGCAATCGCCGCAGCCGCCCTCAGGAATTCCATGTCCACGCCTGTGCTCATGTAAGAGAGAGTGAGAGACGATGATAAAAGAGTGTTGCTGATTGTCCTAAGGCAAGAGGTAGTGCACACGCAAGCTTCTGTTCGTGCCTTTCTGCCGCGTGCCAAAGGGGGGGTTCATGATCACCGTGTCCGCCACTATCCGGGGCTGCTGCTCGCCGAGCGCGCGGACGTCTGCCTTGATGAAATCAATCTGCGGTCGGATCGGTGAGGGACAAGACGATTGAAAGTTGGTGTGTGCAAGTCGGAACGCCTCGGGCATAGTTGGGTGGGCTTCAAATTTTGGATAATCTACAGTTTTTCAGGAGGCGCCCAACAAGCCGCAGAGGCACAGCCACTTCTCCCAATTGACCTATCGGCTCCGTACCGGGGACGGCTCATCGTCATCGTCGTCGTAGATACCCGCCACGTTCTCCTTGGCCAGGTCCAGGGCATCTTGGTCCACATCCACCGCCACCACGTGGCTGGCCCCCAGCACGGCGGCGCCTATGGCCAGCATTCCCTGGAGGGCAAGGGCAAGCCTGGAGTCAGCACGAGCCATGGCAGCTTCGCAGGGCGCCCATGCGCACCGTCGTGGAAGGATTATCGACACATCAAAAGAGCAGGAAACCCAGCAGGTACCCCAATAACACGCCCCCAGCCACGAAGAGTGCGCACCCCCCTTCTCTCACCGTGCCACACCCCAGGTCGGCCACCACCCTTCCTTCAAACTCGTCAAAACTGTTGGATACCTGAAAAGGGTATTATAGCCAACGACAGGCGAATGAAACTCTGTGAGTCTCGCCTCAGGTGATTGGGACAGAAGACCATTTGCAATTGGGTCGACAGCAAGGTCATTACCTTGCCCGCTCCTGAGATAAAGCCCCACCCACAACAGTAATTACTCGTTTCGTACAGCGTAAAGGAGCCTGGAGGCGAGGTGAGGACCGGTGGGATACTGCTCCAATTCAATCTTGGGTCTCTCAAATGGAGCAATGTGCTGCGCAGGGTGGAGAGCGACCGCCATCGTCGCCATCAACTCGGTACCGGGGCCCGGCCAGCCTCGTCCACAGACCACCCCACCGCCGCACCTGCATGAGCGACTCGAGCTCCTTCAGCTTCATGCTGTTTATAATTATGCTCTTTGAGCCACAGTCGGCTTCTATTCAGCGGCCACTTGCGCTCTGTAAAGCCACATAAAGCTGTTTCATGCAACAGTGTTGGCCGAGAATCGGATACGATATCGCGCGCGGATGACTCACGAACAACCTGGAGAATAACCTGTTGGATCATCCTCAAGACCCCGCAATCCAGGACGCAACCCATTTCGCGTTCATATCGCAATCACGGAACGGGTCATACCATCACTTTTGTATTCGCGGTGTAGAGAGCGCAGCAACAGCGTACGCGCGTGTCGGTCGCGAGCTCGTCCTCGGGCGTGTGCACCCTACAAGGCCCGCTTCTGGCACCCTTCGCTTCGAGGTCGGGCTGGCGCCCATCTGGTGATTGTGACCGGTCGACATGGTGGGACGCAGCTTGTACATGCTGGCGCAGAACGCGGGGCGCTCGCGACTGCGACCCCGCAAGGCCGCGCTGGAACTGACGGACGCTGCGGTGTCGAGGATCAAGGAACTTCTGGGCAAGCGACACAAGGTATGGAGTGTGTGCGTGGTGAATGCTGCGGGGTCGCTGGTCGTAATGGGTGGAGGGGCCGAACCGTGTCTCTCTCGGGAACTCAACCGACCGCCCCGCCCGCGTCTGCGCAGGAATACCTGAAACTCGGCGTGAAGACGCGGGGCTGCAACGGCATGGCGTACACGCTGAACTACGCTGGTGAGTGGGGCTCTTGCGTGCGGGGAAATCTCGCAGCAAGTGTGTGGAGATGGGGGTGGAGTCCCAAGACCGAAGCGTGACCGTGCCCCCTCCCCGCTCCACAGATTCCAAGGCCAAGTTCGACGAGCTCGTGGAGGACAGGGGGGTGAAGGTCTTGATCGACCCCGGAGCGCTGCTACACGTGCTGGGCACCAAGATGGACTATGTGGAGGACCGATTGCGATCCGAGTTTGTGTTTGTCAACCCCAACGCCAAGGGCACGTGTGGGTGCGGCGAGTCATTCACCACCGACACGACAAAGGGCCCACCCCCCGGCGGCCCGAGTGTGCTGCCCCCGGCCGGTCAACAGGCACCGCAGGCTCAGCAATGATGGCCTGCGACCTTGGCCTGGTAGGGTTGTCCCCCAGGAAATAAATAGTTGTTCTTTCGCTTGTGTGCGATTTTCCCGTCGCATGGGCGCACGCCTTTCTGATTCGCTCCCGTCTTGCGCACTTGACTCGCGCCTTCACCTTGTTCCCCTCTTATTTAATGCACCGCGGCGTCGGCAAACGGACAAAGATGAGGTCGAGCACCAGCGATGAATTCTACATAAAAAATACCGCACAGCTGTCGCCGCTCACTGCAGGCTCACCTCGTCCAGGTCCAGCTCTGGCGCTGCGCACCGCCGCTCCTCAGCCGTGCAGCTTCCGAACAGCCGCCGGCTGCGGCTCGTGTCCCGCGAGCGCTGGCACACGCAGGTCGGGTGCAGGTGTGCCCCGTCCTGCCCCGGCTCGACCACCTTTCGCGGGAAGCCTGTATCGCACCAGACCTCGGACCCCGTCTCCGGCGCCCAGGCGGAGTTGCAGGGCTGCAGGTCGGTCGTGTGCAGCCCGGCCACCGCGGGCCGCGCGTCCTCGGGCGGCGCCCCGGCCAGCGCCTCGGCTCTGAGCAGCAGCGCGGTGGGCTGCCCATCCGCGTCGTAGAAGGAGCCCGTCAACAAGCCCACCGCCTTGTACTTCTGCGGCGGGGTTTGGGGACGTGAGGGGGGGATTAAGGGACAGGCAATCGAAGAGGTGGACAGATGACAGTAGGGCACAAGTGACTCACCCCCTCACACGCTCATACTCAAACACCCATACCGCGGATCTTCGGAAGAAGTCGCGCCAGCGCAGCACCGACATTAATTTGGAGTCCGAAAAGTCGCGGATCTCGTCGTTCAGGTCGTTGACAAAATCGCCTGAGGACGAGGTTGTCAGAGGGTGCAGATGAGGCGCCAGCCAAAAAATGCTTGGCATCTCCTCAGACACCCACGCTTTGGCATCAAGATCAGAACCACTCCATCAACACCTGTTGCGAATGCACGCGTGGCGTCACGCCCAGCAAAGAATCTGTAGCTGCCATGCTTCCCTGCAATGCCGACAAAGGATCCGAATATTGATCGCTTTCATTGCACTGGACGGCCAGTGTCAGCCGTCCTGCGCGCCACGGACCTTTTAAACGCATTTCGCCCAGCCTCGCACTCTCCAGCCCTGCCTCACCGTAGTGGCGCTGGCCGGCAGAGACGTCGTACACCTCGCCCATGATGCCCAGCCAGAGGCCCATGCCGTGGTTTCCATCGCGGTAGTAGAGATCCCCAGGCGTGAGCAGCAGCTGCAGGGCAAGACCCGAAAGGTGTGTGACTTCGGCACGTAAGGGCCGGCCGTCAAGCAAATAGACTCCCTATCCACTCCATACCCCTTGCACCTTGTCCAGGCCTTCAGGCCGCGGAGTGGGAGGGTGCCGGTAGTAAATCCATAGCGCACGCAGCGCCGCCGCCGCGATGAAGACGAGTAGAACCCCCACCTCCAGGCGCACTACGGGGAAGGAGGCACGTGAGAGTACAACATAAGAGAAACCTGTCGTATAACGATGTTCATGAACGTCTCTCCCGCTCCTGATCCAACTTCCGCCCCCGCATGCTCGCCTCGGGTCCTTGGCTGGCTGTTGCGGGAGGTGGGTCCCGATCGCCGACGGGAGAGCTCAGCGGGCCTCTTGAGCGCACCTGCGATCGCCACATGGGAATGATAATAACATAAAAACCGACTGCTGTGCAACTTGTGTGCACATGTGTTATATCATGCACTCTCCAAGTGCTCCCACTTCGTCGCTCTCCATACGGCCACCCCCCTTGTCCACCTGCCGACCCCACCGCCTTGGGATTGGTGGCGCCCTCCGCTGTCTTATTTGCCGATCCTGCATTGCAAATATATCCCATTATGAATCGTGTGAGGTATCCATGGAAACAATGGGCCAGGTATTGCTGGCAGACCGTCGCAGGAGGTAGGGTTCCACGTACGGAGCTTTCGTCGCAGCTCAGCGTCGGCGTCGGTATACCAGCTCATTGTTACATATAACCGGTATTGATAGGATACGAATAAATGTCATGTATGTCAAGGGATGCAGATTTGGAAGGAGGTGGATCGGCCAGGTCCCATTGCGCTGGAGCCACCCCCACAGCGCCCGCTCCAATACAGGGGTGCCCACAAGGCAATCAGCATAGAAGGGAGGCAAGGCGCGATTCTACGAGCACTGGCTACACCTGATTATTATCGTCGTGAATGCAAAATTTTATGTGATAAAAAGTAGTATTTGCAGGCATAAGCCAGTGGTGAAGGCAAAAAACGCAAAAAGCGGTGAGTGGTATTTCGGAAACAGGTTTCGATCCTGTGACCTCGGGGTTATGGGCCCCGCACGCTTCCACTGCGCCATTCCGAACGCTGGGTCAGCTTGAGCTCAGGCGACTGAGCCGTGTTTCCCTGATGGCTGAACTCTCAATTATTAGTCTTATGACGAGATGTGGATAAAGGTCAAAAAAGGTTGGATTGCAGCGATGAGTTTTTAAGACAGACTATCGAGCAGAACGCCTTCTATTGATCTTTATTTCTACGCTACATCTTTTCAACGTGTATTTCGGGCGCCATTATTTAACAGGGAAAAGGTATGCCAATCATCAGTGCACATCAAAAGCGCAAGCCGCACACACGATGATCACGCTGACCAACATCATGAATCAACCGCGCGTTGTCCGTGTCGCAGCTCGTCGATCGGTGACGAGATGGAATGGCTCCTGCTCCGTCGTGGGCCTGGGCGGCACGGCCGGCACTCCTGGGCGTGGCGCGCTCTCGGAGAACATGCTCTTCCTGCGGGGACATTGGGACAGCGACGGCAAGTTCACGTGCATGAACAAGTCTCATCCAGCAACCACCTAAGCCCTTCCCCCACAGGGTCCTGCTTGTTCGGACCCCTCACCTAAAGGGCCTGGCCTTGAACGGCGGCATGGCGGCCATCTCCTCGGCCTCCACCTCCTCCCGCGACTTGAACCGCGCCGGCCGCGTCCGCTTGCGCGTTTGCAGCGCGGGCGAGTGCGGCAGCGTCAGCAACCCCGGGGCTCTGTCGGGGCCTGCCGTCTGAAAGTCCTGGGCCCCAGCGTGCGTGGCGTTGGCTCGCCTGGGCCTGGTCTGAAGCCTGCCCTCAAACTCGGCGATCCGCTCCGCCCGGGAGCGCCAGGGAGAGGACGGGACCACCGTGGCCTTGCTTTCCAGAGTCTCCTTGCTCAGCGAGCGCGTGCGCATAGCATGCAACCTCGGGGCCGCCGCTGGCCGCCGGCCCCTCGTCTGCTCTGCAGGCCTGGGCTCTGGCGCGGGCAAGGCCTTGGTGGTCGCGGTGGCCTCAGCTTTTGCGGTGGCCTCGGTCTTGGGAGGGGGAGCGGCTCGTTCCGGCCTGCCACTCACGCGGCCAGGAGGCGGCCTGGGGGGCTGCTCGATTGCCTTTGGCGGGGGGCTTGCCTCGGCGGCGGGGGTATCCTGCGCTGGCTCTGCTGGCAGGTCCTCCGACGCAGAGTTAGTCGCCAGAGTGCCCTCTGCAGCTGACACTGCCGTCTGGGGATTTGGTTCCTGCACCTCGGGCGGTGGTCTGCAATTGGAGGTTGGAAAAGCACTTGAGCAACACGCCAATGAATGAAGAATGCCATTTTTACTTGACAGATTGGGTATCTTGAGTATGCAATGCTCTTCCCAGCGACAGCACTGCCCATTGGTCCATCACATCCCACCGCCTCGATCATGAGCGCGCGCATACCTAGGTGCCTCTTTTGTGGGTGAAGACGACCCCTGGCCGGTACAAGAGTCCTCCGTGGACGCCGCCCGAGAGAGCACGGCGTTCTCAATGGGCGCCAGGACCGGTCTGGGAGCGGGCGCCGAGCTCTGGGCGGCCACGAGCTTGCCGTGCAGACTCTGCAGGCAAGATAGAGGGCAGTCAGGGCATGACAGAGAGCCGCAAGCACAAGGCTGCATGTCAGGGAGTAGCACAGTCCCGCAAACCATGTGCTGCCTCACCTGAGCGGCTGTCGATTTGTGCGGCGCGTCAGCGGGTGGGGCATTCTCATCTGGCTCGGCCTTTTCAGAGTCGGGGGGGCTCTTGAGTCCTGCAAAGATGCACAGACCGTCAGCTTGAGAATGCCCGACATGCGCTCGTCCAGCGCCTCAAGTCCGCGAGCTACTGAGACACCAAAGAAAGCCATGCACCCCTCCCTTGCCGGGTCCACGCACCCGCGGTGGCTCGAGCGTCGGAAAACCAGTCGTCGGGTCGCGACCCCGACTCCGGGCTGCCCCGCGCAAAGTCGTAGTACCGCGGGGCATCAAACTCAAACCTCGGGTCTGTCATGGATTTTCGACGGTCTGGAAGGCCCTCTTCCGGCGCGGCAGTGGCGACTGGCATTTGGTGTCGCAGGCCCACTGGCCGGACGACCTCCCGACTGGCTCTCAGCTACGAAACGGGCGCTCCCTCAGGCATACCGCGTCATGCTGGGCCGTGCAACCGATCTGAATGGCATGCAGTCCAGTGTTTGTTCATTTGGCGCACCTTGGCCGGGCGAGCACCTTGGCTGCCGTCTGTCCTTCCGAAAATTTGCGTGCTCCGTCAACATGGATACGCGGGGGACGCTCCCGCAAATCCAGCTCATGACCAGAAACTCTGGGACCGTGTGTCCCAGCCAAATGTAAGACGCGCGGGCCAGCCCATCCCAAGCGCATTTGAGGCTTCATGTTTCTGCAAGAAGTTTCATTTTCGACTGTATTACATTCAGTCAGTCGCTGATCGGCGGAGACACGCCCGACTGCACCCGATGAGGAGGGTAGGGATCTTGCTGGGGCTTCTGGCCTTGGCCAGCGCCTTTGACTTTCACGACACAAAGTTGTTCGTGCTCCAGGCACAGGTATGCGAGGGGCTGCTTGGCGGGAACGAAGGCGTGGGTCCGTCGTTCCTTTCCGGGACCCTGCCCGTTCGAAATGGAAGGGCATCGCCCATCATCCCGACGCGCCTCCCCGATTGCAGAATGAGCCTCGCGAGGCCTTTGATCACTGGAGGGAGATTGCGAACAAGGTGTACGATGGCGCCGAGGTGCGGTGGGGGAGTCGGAGCGGGTGCGGGAAGTCGTGAAGCAGGCGTGCGCTGCCTGTGGCTCATCATTTTTTCGGTCCGCGTCATCACCTCAGCTCCCCTTTTCCTCCGCGGTGCGTGGCAGGAGCTCGAGCGCCGCTTCTCGGTGTGGATGGACAACCTCAAGTACGTCCTCGACTACAACGCGCAGCACAGCAATCACTGGGTAGGCAGGCGAGGGCGATAGTGATGGGGTGGTCAATGATGCTTCCTGGGCTGGGAGGGATGAGTGGGGAGATCGAGGGGACATATCTTTTTTTTTCGTAATATGTGTTCCTTGCCACGTGGGTGGGTGTTTCAAAAGAGTAGCGCGCAAAGCGCGCAACCAGTCTTCCCCTCGCCCGTTTCGATATCCTCATACCCCCCTCCCCTCTCTGTTCTTCGCCCCCCTTTCCAGCTCGGCATGGGCATGTGGGCTGACCTGACGCACGATGAGTACATCCACCACGCGCTGGGCTACAACCGGGCCCTGGCCTCTACGGCGCGGCCGCAGCGCTTGGGCGCCCCCTGGACCCGAACGACCCCACCATCCCCGAGTCGGTGGACTGGCGTGAGAAGAACGCGGTGACGGAGGTGAAAAACCAGAAGATGTGCGGTTCGTGCTGGTCCTTTGCGACGACGGGGTCGATCGAGGGCGCCAACGCGATCCACACGGGCAAGCTGGTCTCGCTGTCGGAGCAGCAGATGGTGGACTGCGACCGCGAGCGCGACAACGGCTGCCACGGCGGGCTCATGGACTATGCGTACGAGTACGTGCTCAAAAACGGCGGGCTGGACTCGGAGGAGGACTACCCTTATACCGCTGAGGAGGGCGTGTGCGACCGGCGGCGCGAGAAGCGGCACGTGGTCACCATCGACGGCTACGAGGACGTGCCGCGCATGAACGAGGGCGCGCTGCGCGCGGCGGTGGCGCGCCAGCCCGTGGCCGTGGCCATCGAGGCCGACCAGCGCCCCTTCCAGCTCTACGCGGGCGGCGTGCTGGACACGGCCTGCGGCACCGCGCTCGACCACGGCGTGCTGGTCGTGGGCTACGGCTCCTTCAACAACGGCACGACCGACCTGCCCTACTGGCTGGTCAAGAACTCGTGGGGCGGCGCCTGGGGCGACAAGGGCTACATCAAGCTCCTGCGCTCGCCGCTGGGCGCGCCCAGCGGGCCCGGCCAGTGCGGCATCGCCATGCAGGCGAGCTACCCGGTCAAGAAGTCGCCCAACCCGCCCACGCCGCCGCCCACGCCGCCGGCGCCGCCCCCGGGCCCGCCCCGGCCCGGAGCCGCAGGTCTGCGACGCCACCACCGCCTGCCCGGCCGGCTCCACCTGCTGCTGCATGCGCGAGTTCTTCGGCTACTGCTTCGCCTGGGCCTGCTGCCCGCTCAACGGCGCCGTCTGCTGCGACGACCACCAGCACTGCTGCCCGCAAAACCTGCCGCACTGCGACGCCGAGGCCGGGCGCTGCCTGGCCGCGCCCGGCGTGCAGATCGGCTCGCAGCCCATGGTCGACAAGGTGCCCGCCTCGCACCACCTGCCGGACTGGGTCCGCCACTGGCGCGAGGCCATGCGGCCCTTTGGCGAGGGCGCGCGCCGCCGCGACCAGGCCGCCGTCGCCGCCGAGTAGTAAGAGGCGGGGGTGCGGACGCGTCCCACAGATGCGCGCAGACTCCTCCTCTCTTCATTCCTGAGCGCGCAGAGAGAGATCAATTTCTGCTGCAACAACAACAACAGCAACACCGTCGCTGTATGGCACTGTAATGTCTTGAGCCGCTGCAGTTTTGGGCCCTTGGCTGTGCGTGCACGCATGGCCAAGGGCCGTGCAGCCTCTTCCAGGGCTGCCCCTGTATGATGCCTGCCGCCTACTCGACGAACAACCTGCCCTGGTGTACTCTCAACATGCTGTAATGTAATCACGAGCGACAATGCACTTAGGAGGGAGCGATCCGGGCGTGGCCTCGGACGGGCCAGGGCTTGAAAGCATCCAGAAAGCATACACCAAGGGTTTGTGCATCACCACACGCTCATTTATCGCGCGAAAAAATATGCCCCGGAGGCGTGAAAGGCAAACCCGGGCAACCCTAGAGAATAGAAAGCGAATTTGCTTTGAACCGTTTTTGAATTTAGAACTTTGCACACGCAAATTCAATTGCTGGTACCATGGCGTCTCGCAAGGCCATCCTCTCCCTGCTCCTGGCCCTGGCCCTCTCGGTCCGCGGGCTCGAGTCCGACGATCTGTCGGCGCAGCTGGAGGCCATCCCCGACTCCGACTTTGTGTTCACCCCCACCCCCAG